ACCCTGAGCCGGTGAGATTTGAACCGCTGACCTGCTGATCTAGCAGTAGCCTGCAGTGCTGCATTTAACACACTGCGCCACCTTGGCTCTTACATCACTTTACACTAACTGAAACTGAATCCCATTTGGCATTTCATTGCATCTATTTTAAAGAGATCCTTCTGAAGTTCTTTATATTTTCATTTACTGTTTGGCAGCCAGAATATATAGCGTCATTTGCCAATGTGCCCAACATAAAGCATAGATCCCAACATTAACCCTCAAGAGATTTTAGCATTTAAAAAACCCCTCCCTTACGACTCTGTAATTCCTTAATTTGGGATAAAGTTGGGGTGACTGGATGAAGCTGAATGTTTACTGCCAGATGTCTTTCCTGATGCCTCACAAAGTTCACAGCAGATTTTTTTTTTGCGTCCTCAGAAAGATCTACCACTACCTAGGATTGAATTCTCAACATATTTCAACTTATTCTGGATTTTATTTCAAGATTATTAAAATATTTGTATGTCATCACATCCATTTTCTGACATATGCTTCTCCTTCCTTGCCATGGGTAAAGTTATAGCTGTGCTTCCAATATTACTTCCAGAAATTGCAGTGGATAAATCAGTGTTCTTTTATAAATGACGAATTCACTATATATTTATTCTTCAAACATGCCTCTTATCTTTATTTTTATTTATTCATTAGATTTTAATGAAAGCATAAGGGGTATGTGCAAACCTACCTATTGGGGTAGTAGATGTTCAGCCCAATGAACACAATAACAGTCATAAAATGACATACCTTGGCCAGAACAAATAAAAACTTTGACAACTTCTGGCAAGGAGAAATGTGCAAGTTAATGGTGCCTCCAGGTAGCTTTAGCATATATGACTGGCAATTGTAACACAGTATCTCTCAGTGCACTTGGCAGCATTATAAGGATCACAGTCTTGCAAGGATGAACAGATTAGCCAATGTGTGGATTTCTCTTTTACATTTGGCATAGATATCTTTCTGCTTCACCTTTTGGTTTCTGTCAGAAGAATATTTATTGTAGCAATGTGCAGTGCAATCCAGCTCTTCATCTATGTTTGAGTTCCCTTCTTATTGTATTTCATGGTATTAATGGAGTACACATTTCTCTCTGCACCTCTACCTTTTTAAAGATCTCCATTCAAGACTACAGTGCCCTTGGGCTACTGGTAATGTTTAATAACTTTCTACACTGGTAGTTCTTTCTTTGTCATTACACCAAGGCTTTTCTTACTTTAGTATATAAAGATCTTAAGTGTTCGCCTTGACTAGTGGCCCACACATTATATAGCAGTATCATCAAGATTATATAGAAAATCTCTATCTTTTTAACTGTTACAATGGATGTCTTGGCAAGAGCCACCTGAGGGGAAAAAAACAGAACTGGGAAAGTTGAGCTACTTTTTCTCACATATCGCTAGATCAAAATGTTATTTAAAATAAAATGTTAGTGGCTATCATTCTATCAAAATTATCATAAAGGTTTATTTAGCATTTTAACAGAATCTTGATATAGGTAGCAATTAATAGCCCTTTACATATATAGTAGAAATGGAAATAAGACACTTCATTTTTTAAGAAATGCACATCCATCTATATTAATTACATCACTGACCTGATTTATAACAGACACTAAGCTATCACCACTCTGGATATCTTCATGCAAAGACTTATCACCCATTCAAAATCAGTTCCAGGTCTGCCTGATGAAATAACCTGTGTGGTAGTGACTTTTAGAGACAGAGAGGTAGGGAATCAACTGGCAAGTAACAGAGTAGATTTAATTTCAAGAGTGATCTCTTTGGTAACCAACATAGCTGACCTTTCCTTCTCCTATGCTGAATCCTGTAGGCAACCTGTTCTATAATTATTGGAGACTCCGGTCTTGTTACTCTTCTGTGATTCTAGGCTGCAATTTTCCAGCAGGTTCTTCAGTGGGAAAGTTGGTTTGATTGTCAGTTTCCCCACTAACAGAACTACTGGGAGTTTTGGATAGGTCACCAAACAAAAGTACTCAGTGTAAACTAAAGGCATATATAAAGTGCTGCACATTATTTAAATTATTTCCCTTTAGCTTGGAGTGGGCGTGGAAGTCTTTTGTTACCTCGGATCAGACAGAGATTTTCATTTCTTGTCCTCAGTGTTTATAAACTAGAAGAAGTAAAGATGTTATACCTTCAAGCTGCTTTTGAGAGTTTGGGGAGGAAAAACTGTCAAAGTGGGGGAAAAAACTCTATATGTTTTTCACAGGTTAAGGTACATGACTTTGTTGTACAGAATCAAGTAACACTTCTATTACATCTTTAAATTAATATCTGGAGTTAACCTAAATAAGATTTGAAAAATGGACTATTTTATTTATAACAATTTGATTTGCTAGATGAGGAGATTTGGATTTCAGATCTTAGATTTTCCTTTTTTTAAATTCCAGAAACGTAGTAAAATATATAGGGACAGATACCCAGAGACACTTTTCCTTTGTCATGTGATGGATATGGTACATCTGAAAGGAAAGAATATGAAGAAGTTACTATTAGATATTGTCCACAAAATTATTCTAATAAACTGTGGAATATTTTAAATAGTAATCTCCTTTGGAAGGTAGTTTTACTTTAAATTATTATATAGGTATAGGTTTAGTACAGGTTCATTCTTTAGTTTTTCTTTGCCATGACCTAATATATAGAGAGAATTGAATTGTATCATATGCCTGAAACTATTTACTGTATTGAAGTACTGCATAGAAAATGAATAAATCATACAAAGGCCTAAGTGAAATTACATCTTTGATATACTTTACCCTATCTTTACATGCTGACCTTGTTTATATTTCCTGAATCAGTGTAGAGAGTTGTTGAGTTGGTCAATAATCTAATCCAGCCATCAATAAAACACATTTTCTTGTTTATTAATATGTGATTAAAATGTATATGATAAAAATATATTGACTGCAAGCAGAGTTTGCATGACAAGAACAATTATGCCTTCCAAACTTAATCACTACATGAGTCCTTTAACCCAGTGAATGTCAATAGTCTATTTATGAACAACTAAGGGAGGAGGGAATGTTATAAGTACAATATTAGAATTTTCCTATGTTTGTTTGTATTTCATTTACTATTTGAGCTTGTATAAATCTCCAAACTACAACAGTCAGCAGATAAATGTCTAATCTTAAATTTATATTTGGTTCTGTGATAAAGCTAAAAACATATGATGATGATATAATGATTGATTACATTGTCAATCAGACCTTAAAACTGGCTTTGTCATTATAGAAGTACTATAGTGCATTAGAATCAAAAAGATTTGTAATATTTTAAGATTTGATATATAAATCACAACTATAATCAGAAATGGCGTTTAGAATGGCATATAGTATGTCTGCTATGCTCTTGAACAGCAGCCTACCACACAATAAAATGTACACTTTAAAGTGTGCACTACACTTGTAACTCTGATGGTTGTAGTTAAAGTACTGTAGTTTCCAGTGCTTATACACACTGGCCTGTCCCTTACTGAAAGAGGGACTATCAATCTAACAATTTTAAAAGACAGAGCAAGAGAGATAAAATTTATTCAAAATCTTAGAGACAAGGAAATTATCTTGACATATATCTGGTATGTGAATTGCAAACTAACATTTGTCTGCTTGTCTGTGAATGAGGACATTCCTAACAGCATGTTTTGTTCTAATCCATAATTCACTGACATGGTTTAAAATATTAGAACTTTGCATCATTTTAGTACATGTTATGAATCTTATTAGAGATTTGAACAGTAGATCTTTAATTTCTTATTAGTAAAACAAGTTCTTCAATTATTTCATGCTTTATTTTTCCCTACTGCTTTTGACATTTGTGATGTCTCATGTTTTGTTAAGACATAATATTTCATTAAACAATACTATGTTATCAATAATTGAAAATGTTAGCATTAACTCCCTAAGGCTAGTCTTCAACATTACTAACAATTAATATAAATACAATAAAAATACTTTAAGCACAGCACAGACTTGCCTCTATTGAAATTAGTATCATTCATTTGTGTGTGTGTGTGTGTGTGTGTATGTGTGTATTCATAGATTTTCACGGGTGTAGGTATGCTGGTCTTGTTGTATTCGGGTCTTTTCCCATGTAAGATTGAGATTGTCTCGGCAACGTTTCAGCGAGGTCTCACTCGCCATCTGGTGTTGGTGTTTTGGGCTTAAAGCGTGATCGGAGCTGCCATCCCTCTACAAGCCTTGGGGGGGGGGAATGGAGTGCTGGCCCCGTTTCAGCAAGTGGAGTGATTGGATGCGTGACTGTATCATGATTGGTAGATAGGTGCTGATTGGTGCTGGCTGTGGGTGCATTGTTGTTTTGTGTTGTAACAGCCTGGGTGGTGGGTGGAGCTCGTTTGTTTACCAGGACTGGTTTCCAGATGTCTGGTAGGCAGGAGGTATCATCACGTTTATTCATGTTGTGGGGGTGTTTCTCTATTTCGATAGCTTCCATAATTATTCTCTGAACACTTCAACAAGAGAATAATTATGGAAGCCATAGAAATAGAGAAACACCCCCACAACATGAATAAACGTGATGATACCTCCCGCCTACCAGACATCTGGAAACCAGCCCTAATCAACAAACGAGCCCCACCCACCACCTAGGCCGTTACAACATGAAACAACAATAGACACACAGCCAGCACCAATCAGCACCAATCTACCAATCATGATACAGCCACACATCCAATCAATCCACTTACTGAAACATCGCCAGCACTCCACACACACCCCACCAAGATTTATAGAAAGAGGGCAGCTCCGGCCACGCTTTAAGCCAAAAACACCAGCCTGAGGATGGTGAGTGAGACCTCGCTGAAACCTTGCCAAGACAATTTCAATCTTACACGGGAAAAGACCCGAATACAACAAGACCAGCATACCTACACCCACGAGCATATATGTATACACACACACACACACAAATACATACATATATATAAATAACTTCATCATTGCCTTACCTTTTCAAATAGCCATATGTCTCAATAGGCTTATACAAAACCATTATTTTAACACTTTCCACTTTCATCTGTAGTATTGTATCATTTTTGGCTATTTAAATAGAGTGCATGCATATAGTCATATAAAATCACTTGAAAACAGTATAGAACTATAATATTTTGATAATTCTCTTGTAAAGGAGGAAGAAAATGGCAAACCAGAAATACAGGGCTTTCACACAAATAATGCTGTTCCTAATACTTTTTAAGTTAACCACTTTTACTGGTGAAAGAGAAAACAGCGTTATGGATGCTTCTTCTGAAGTTTTAGCAAGTATATATTCATATATTCAGTTTTTCTGATAGTGTGACTGCATACTGTTTACATTATTATTAGCAGAACAAATTTCTCATGAAAGTGAATGGGCAGCCAAAGTAAAAATTAAGCACTATTAATAACATGAAATTATAAATGTAATAAGTTTAATGGTACAAAACTGATATAATAACATAAGTATGTGACTTCTACAGATGTTCCTGCTACTATATTGTATGCTAACTAAGGTTTCCAGGTTATATTTAAAGGCAAACCCTCACTGAATTTACAATTAGATTCTAATTCCATAATTCTAATATCTTTCTCCCCCCCCCATTCATTTTCAGTGCTCAGTTTTTATAGTGTATTTTATAACTGGAAGGACCATTTTTTTTAACTGTTCTAATCTTTGTTATCATACAAATATTCATATTTATCATAATCTTATAATTGCTTTTCTCCCTAGGTTTAATCTCTTATTTACTTCTTCAATATATGAAATATCTTAAGCAAAAGAAAACAAAATTATCACTTTCAGTTGTTTGCTGTAAACAATAAGTTAACTAAATTTGCTGGTTTAGTTTACTTTTGTACTCTTAGTGTTTAACATTAATTTATATTTTACACTTCCCATTTTAAATGGCAAGTGGTATCATCATCATGTCAAATTGTTAGTGTTTCAACCTATAATTTTTTTATTGTAGCTGTCATCTTACATAAAGTCCCTATACATTTTAAGTAAATATGGGAACAACATACTGCACATGCTTATCTTCCTCCCTTTCCAATTCTGATCCACACTGTTTCCCCAATCATAGCTCTTACAGTAGTTTCTTATTAATTCTAAAGGTTACTGAGAATAATCAGATATTCTGGCACACCCATTAGTCTTAATATAGTCCCCATTCTGACATGATCTCTGCATTCAAAGTAAATAAATCAAAGGCACACTTTAAATTCTCTTGTTCATTTCGTCAGATGTTAGTTCTGGTCTCTGCCTTAAACCTGCCTCTTCATTTAGCAAACATTTCTCAACATACAACTGTATTTTTCTTTATAAGATCTTGAGGGGGGGCACTTTGCCAAAGAATCAGTGGACAGGTTTTGTAATTTACAAATTATCTTGCATCTCTCTTTTATGGTATTGGCATGTACCCAATCTTTATCAATCCCTAGTCCACACAATCTTGCTCTATATTTGTTGACATATAGTTATCAGCACTTTCACAGACTCCACTCCTACAGTTTTAAATAGTGCAATAGTGCAACCTTGCCATTGCTAGGCACTTTCATAGTTGACAACTTCATTTTGTACCACTGTCAATGTACAGTAATATTTATAATGGTTTGAATGCAGTCTTTCCAACTTCCTTTAATTCCATTTGCCTTTATTAGATCTTTTCTACTTTTATTTATAAATGTTCCACTTTAGCAGTAATTTACTGTGATTTTTTTTGATATGAAAATGACCTATGGGGTTTCTTTTTTGTTATTTTTATTGTTAGTTTTCTCAATTTGTTGATGTTCTTGATTGAAATTTATTTCTTCATCCTTTCTTACTGGATGGCAGAAGTCTGTGTTCAGTTTTTATATCCTTGTTGCCCCAGGCTTCTATCCTTTTCCATCTTTGGCTATCGCTGATACATTGTCTGAAAGCAACTTGGGCGTTATTCTTTGAAATTTTGGAAATATTGTTTTCTTCTTCAATTTTTACAGGGTCTTTTATCCATTCCTAAAGTTCCTTGGGTTCTCTTTCACTTAGGTTAAATATACTGAATCTATTCCTAAGATTGATTTTATATTCTAATTATATAGCCTCTAAGTCTCTTTAATCTACTATGTTTAACCTATATTTTTAATGCCAGCAGTTCATTGTCTGTTTCACAATCTGCATCTGGAACAGACTCAGCTGATTGGGTGCTACCTTTACAACATCTGTTTTCTGTTCCATATAAGTATAGCAAGGTCTACGTATAGAATCTGAATTTACATAATTTGAAACAGTTGTTTGCAAATACATTTCTGCAAGATTCTCTTAATTTATTTCCTGCAATGCAGCATTTAACCAGTTCAAATGCATTACATGTAATCAAACCTAAATATAAATATTCCATGTGCCATTGATACAAGTTGTGTTTCTTTCAGTAAGAACAGCACAATTGATTAAAAGCCTATCCTTACAATAAAGATATTAATGGTCAGATTACTTCTAAACTGACTTTTTAGAGTGAACTCCACTTCTCTTAAATTGTAACCCACAGATTGCCCATTTATAGTGCAAATGAGATTTAGTAAATGACTTCTACCACTGCATCTGTAGTTAATATATATACCTATGCAACATTGATAGTCATGCAAATTTTAAAAGACAATACTGTAAGTTATTTGGTTATAGCTAAGCCCGTCCATGGAGTCCAGACAAGGAATAAAAACCATCAGTTTCATACAAACCACACTGCCCTTATTTTGAGGTTACAGTAATACGTTTGAAATCACTTATTTCCTTATTTTTACTTTTCAGAAACCTAGGGAAAGTAGCTTCTCAGGCCCCTTTTGCTTCTGTGGCTAAAGTTACTGTTTGTATGATAGTTTGTCTAGTCTGTGGCCTTTTGCCCTGTCCCAAAGTCATTCTCACATACCATTATATCATTTATTTAGTTATGTCCTTTTTTGAACACCCTTGTTATTACATTCAAATGTTCTCATGCCCTGAAAATATCATGTAATTATCTGATTTAAACTGACCTATCTTGATCCATCTAACTTTGCTTATCCCTGAAACATCTTACTTAATATGCTTTATTTTTGCTTTTAAAATGTTTTCCTTGGATCATTAATATTGTATTCTATACTTGGATTGTATGCACCTTTGCAAAATAAGAAACTCTTCTTACTGGCCTCAACAAGGACCAGATTTTCTTATAACTTTGGTCTGGCAATATAATCATTTTCAAATCTCATTGTGAATGTAGTAGTAACTAGAGGGACAGCTTTCACCCTGGGATGTGTGTGTATTTTTAGGACCCAAACATGTCTAAATGATTTAACCACATCCTTATAACTTTCTTTAGCAACAACAGAGAAGCAATTTGTTTTTCAATATCTACCCTCACTGTAGTTTATTGTTAGCTTCATTAAGACATTTTCAACTGGCCAGCAAGAATAATGCTACTACCACATCAAAATTGCCATCCCTTGGAATTCTACACTGATTGCATTGCAAGTAATCAAACCTAAATATAAATATTCCATATGCCATTGATGCAAGTTGTGTCTCTTTCAGTAAGATCAGGCACAATTGATTAAAAGCCTGGGTGCTAATATTACCTATCCTTACAATAAATATATTAATGCTCAGATTACTTCTAAACGACCTTTTAGAGTAAACTCCACTTCTCTTAAATTGTAACCCACAGATTGCCCATTTATAGTGCTTCAATTTAATCTGGATTAAATTTCAGTTTGTTTGCCCTCATGCACTTTGAGATTGTCCCTATATATAGTGCAGCATTTCTTCTAATTTCTTTAAATTATTAACAGCTTTTGTGTAATACTTGAGTCTGCTTCATTTCACCCAATAGTTTTATGTAGATGCTTAAGAGGGTAACAGATAAGATTGAGGTACAGTGTTTTCTAAGCGCTAAAAAGTTAGTAAAGAAATATTTGGGTACCAATAGCCCCCAAATCCAGTCTCAAAAGCATCTATATTTGTATCCTTGTGATGCCTCTGAAAGATGTAGGAGATATTTCTTCCCCATTTATTGTAAGTTATCCATGAAAATATCCATGGCAGTTTCTCTCTCAAAGCTAGCTGGAACACTAGATTCCAGAATGGAATGGATTCATCATCCCTCTATATTGTACTGAAAAATAAATGGTACAAGATATCATTATATATTTTAGCATATCTATATGATATAAATGTACAATATTGTACTTCCTGGTTATATGCATTTTATAGGACAAAGAAAGAGATAAATAAATATATGGGTAAAATTGAAAAAAGTTGAAAAGAAAACAAAGTATTTTAATTTAAAGCTATGCCTTGTATTGATGCATAAAGCAAATATGTTCAGCTGAGACAGAGGCTTGTGTTATAAGAATGGCAAGACACTGATCTAACAGGAGGCCTGTGATGCAATGTAACTTTGGGACTCCATGGAAAACAGATGCTTCTCCTAGATGACTAGTTTAATCAGAGCTGTTGACTTTATAGTGTTTTCAAAACCCTTTGCCAAAGATGAATTTCCTGGAGTGGCTGAACTGCAGGTGCTAAAGGCCTGGAGTGGACAGGCTGTCTAAAGAACTTCATGCCACTGTCTCAAAAACGAGCTAACTGCTGACAATAATTGATGAGCCAGAGCAATGCAGCAGAGGGTGCACGTTAGAAATACCCACAATAACAACAAATGCCTACGTTTTTAAATGTACAGCTATTTTCAGCAACAAAGGGCTTCCCAAATCAAAATGCTGACTCTTTTTTTTTTCTTGTCATGAAAACAGTTCAGCATACCTCTTAATAACCTGAAGTAAATCAAATGGGGGATCAGCTGGAGCTTAACAGCACTTGTCTCTCCTTGGATATCAGGTGTGTTTACTGTTTCTCTGGCAGATTAATTTATGATCTCTGGTGAGTCTGTGTCCCTAAAACCTGCAATATTAGAGTGGATCCTGGAGTTTTCCTGTACAAAGTCTTACAAAGAGAGATCCCTAATTTGTACCATGGATCTGAATGTGATTGTACATTTACTTGTGGAAAAAGAGGATAGATTATATTTCTGATGAGACAGTGAGAGAGAGTGGCAGAGAGAGAGAGGGAGAAAAAAAGAGAGATCAGTTAGTCTTTTCTCTCTCTTCTTCTAGTTATCTTTACTATGTAAATATGTATTACACCTAGCAATTTACAATTTGGCAGCAGCACAAAAGAAACAATTGAAATAAATAAAACACAGATTTTATATATAAAAGAAAAAAATATAATCCTTTACAATGTTTGGAATCTATGGTCAAGTTATCACCACAAGAATATTATTACACCAACAATTGATTATTCTGCATCCTAATACTATGACAAATATATGGCTTTCAATAGTATTGTGGTGTGCAGATAAACCTCTAGGTAGATGGAAGGGGGTGATAATCACACATTTCTAATGAGGTAGAAGCCTTTATTACTTATTACCTCCAAGAGCAGTTACTATTTAACTCCTGAGTTATACACTCCAATAACTAGTTGTGATTTGGAATGCGCTTCGGCTGCTTAGGTAATGTGGATAAAAACAAAAAGGCAATAAAAATCTGTCTAGGAAAGTATGGGATAAAGCTGCTGCTGCAAAAAAAACCTGCTGGTTCCAAGAAAGGCTTAGCATTGTGTTGCTTGCCCCATAAAAAGGGGCATAAAGGTTTTATTTTTCAGGTTGAGGATGAACTGGCAATAGGGTTCAAAAAAGGAATGTAGAGTGACAAACAAATTCCACCTCTCCCCTAGGGTGAAGCTAGCGAGCATGCTGCACATAAATTAACTAATAAATTGCAATCTGCCAATCTTTCCGCTGCTTTCCCTCGTGTTGTTGAATCTAAACTATGTGTATGTGTTTGTGTGTGTGTAAACAAGCTTGATCACAAAAACAATACAGCTGGACCAGGAATGAACTATAGCCAGAGATTGTCCTTGCCTCTTGCTTTGGCTGGACAGGCAGACCTCAAGGACAGACCTTCTTGGTCCTGTCCGTTTATGAAGCTTTAGTGCAGAGAAGTGTTGAAGAAATTACTAAAGTCCTGTCTGATTTTATAAGTTTTCTGTAATTCTTTGCTGCCATCTAGTAGTCATCCAGAATTTTGCAGCCCAGATCTGATCATCCTTATCTTCATCCAGTTTTGGGGTCAGCAAGTCACTATACTTGGCAAAGAAGCTGCTGCTCCAAGCCCTCTTCTTTGAGTGTAAATTCCATATGAATTTGTTGGGAACTGTGTAACATTATGACATAATTTAGGACTTGAGGCTCAACCAATTATCCAATACAAAATCTTTTTTTCCCTTTAAGTGAATATATGAGACAAAGGGTAAAATACATGGAACCCTTTTCAATGTATTTTGCTGTTCCTGGATCAGATAAAGATGAGTGGGACTTATACGTATTTGATATGCCTATGTTCCTCAAGTCAAGGTGATTTCAAAAACTGAGTTGCACATAATCCCTAGTGCACTTAATAACTGGATTTGTAATTATTTGTTAATTGTAAATAATAACATAATTATTGGAATTTTAAAAATGCAGTAATACACATAAAATCATTACTTCTCTTCCCCCCCCCTTTATTGGTCTTTCTAAATTACATCCAATTCTATCCTCAAAGAAGGTCATTATATAAAGTTTAAATTCTATCTTTGAAGAATACCTCATTTCATTATCTGTCTGGCCCTCAAAACATACCACACACACACATATATATATTAAGAAGTAATTTGGATTCTTTTCTTTAGGACTCAAGCTCTTAGCTGTGGGTTTTCCTACCATTTCCCACACCATGTATATTAAACAGCCAAGAACATTGGCCTGTTTCTTGAAAGTGACCTGAGACTTCACTCAAATAATTTTGTTGCATGGTGTCAAAATTGTTACATGTTAATGCATCTCACCTTCTCTTTCTCTATTTTAAAACTTCCTAACAATCCCTGCAACAACTTTAAAGCCAATGTAACAAGATACAAAAAGAAAAAGAATATTAAAATTGTGGAAAACACGCACAGGACTTCCTTTTGTAATTTTATCATTAGGATCCTATTCTATTTTTGTGAATTGATGATGTGTCTCAAGATTTTTCTGGGGAAGGTATACAGAATGATGCCTTCTCTTTCTGTATCAGGCAAATCAGTCTCAGTAATGAGGAAACCAAGCAGGACGACTATGCTAACTAAAAATACAGAACTACTGGGCTCAATGCTAATCTTTTGAAATAAGAAACAGAGAAGAGGTCAACAATCCCATTCTTCATGTCTGGTTCATCAAAGCATCCAAGATACCTCCCCCCCCTCCATTATCTTCTACCTAGCTGCTGATTCTTGCTCAGAAGACAAACCAATTACTTTCTAGAAATGGCATAATCCAAATGCACAGCAGAGCTAGTTTAGAGTCCTTAAAATGACATTCCAATTACCTCCTAGTCCCACTCCTCTGTTTGGCTTCCTGGACAATTATCCTTGCAGTAATAATCTGAAGGCAAGGATTCTGCAGCACGGAAGGATCTTTCAGATCCATGCCTTCAAGGTCAGTCAGAGTCCTGGAAGACTAGTGATAGTTGCCTAAGCTTCTTGTGCTCTCTTTTTATCAGTGACACGGTCCACTTGCAGAGCCCCTCCTGTGTCTCCAATAAGTAAAAGGCAAAGTTCTTCCTTCCTAGGGAAGGAGTGCCATTTCCTTTCCTCTGAAGGGAGCATAGATAGATGGAGAGATAGGCTTAGGGAACCAATTTCATTGTATTTAAGTACAATGACAATAAAGATTATACTTATACTTATACCTATAAAAAAGAAAGGCTGAAACTGCGGCAGCTTACCTCCTCAGCACTCTGAGATTTAAACCTTGCTTGGTTCTAACTGTAAACCAGGAGTCTATTTTACCCCCTTGTCTTTGGTAGGATGCAGAAGGTGAATAATGAAATCCTTTTGCTAATAGTTTATGAGCCATGAGATTGGAAATGTATATGGATAGACCTGAGCACCGGTCTCAAAATCACTTGAGAGCCTCTTGGAGCCTGCCAGAAGTAACCATTTAATATCCCCACCTTGAGCAGAGGGGAAGCAAGGCTTAATCGATGTATTTTTCCAGCTACTTTTTAGCCCCTTCCTATCTCAGATACATATTTATTGCAAACGTGGAGTGGATGGGCAGGTGAAACCCTTGTCGCGCGGGCACAACAAGCGCCCTTGGGTCTGCAGCATGCGTTTCATTAATCCGAACGGAGGTATTTGGGGGGAAGGGGAAGAAAGGAGACCTATATGCTAGACACCTCACAGGCCGCCCTTGCGATCACATGTGCACGGCAGCAGGCGACCCTTTCATTGCATATCATCGGGAGCCCGTTGAGCTGTCAGTTGGCCACCGATGTGTCCACGGTCTGGATGAAAACAACAACCAGGGCGTCACTTACAGGATGGCAGATGAAAGCCTGTCGGGACGCGAGGGGACAGTTCCGGAAGACGCAATAAGCGCGGGTAGGAGGGAGAAAGCGGCCCTCGAGTGGGCGCTCCAGAACTAACTCCGCGGCCTTAGGGAAGCCGCCCGACGGGAGCCTCAGGAAGAGAGGCAGAAGGAAGCAGGAGGGCGTTAGATGGGCGGAAGGGGGTGGAGGAGAGAGACAAATGGCCCCAGAATAAAAGCAAAAGAAAGGAACAGGTGCTCCAAGGAGAAAGAAACTTTGAGAAGGGGCAAAGTTAATTAAAGCGAGAGGCGAGCTGAGGGGAACCCTTCGAAGTTTTTTCCACTGACTTCGCACTTCTCCGGGAGGGGGCCGCTTGGGGTTTCATGCCGATGGCTGAGGAAGCTGGGAAAGCCCCGCTCTGAGGAGGCTGGACATTTCCCAGAGAGTCAGGGGGCACCTGTCGCCAGGCTGCATCTCAACCACACGCGCGCACAAACACACATCTCCCGCCAATCTCAAGTCAGACGACCCTGGCTTTCTAGGGCGCCCAGCCGGGTGAGAGCGAACTGCCAAATTCGCAGAGACTCAGCCGGCTACCCCCTGTCCCTCGACGGGTCTGCACTTCCTCGGAGGGCAGCTCTTGACAGCCCTGCCGGAAGGTTTGAGAAAAGGTCTTGCCGAGCTCCGGACTGTATCCTGAGCAGCCGGGGCCACCAATGGCTCACCGAACCCATAGGCCTTGGCTACAAGGGAAGCCCCTACCGCCAAGCGCCCGTCCTGAATCCAATGAAGGGGCGAGGAAATGTCTCCTCCAGCCCGGCCAATGATACCGTTCCACCCTCCTGCAATTCTGGAGAAAAGGCTGAGATTCTCGCGCAAACTTATTGGCCACCCTTGACTTGAGATGTCTTGTTGCCTTTTGATGACGTGAGTGTCGGCCTCCTCCTCACGTTTACTCGACGCCGAGGGGCACTTTTTCTCAGTAACGATCTGGGCGTTATTGGAGCGAAAAGGGCAGAAGAATGGTGCGCAAAGCTCCGCTTATCGCATCCATTTTTCTAGGGCAAGAAGGTTTTAGGAAACCATAAAACAATTCTGGACTTTACAATAATTTGTCCATCTTGATGCCGAGATCTGAAGGGCTACCGTAGGCATAAAGGAGGCGGATTTCAAAATCTGATCCGCACCAGAGGTGCGCCGCTACATATACGCGGTCTGACTCTTCTACTCCAACCGTCCCTTTATCACACATACACACCCCGTCCGATTAATAACTTTTTTAATAGAGTGCGACCGCTGGTAACCCTAGCCAGGTCTCAGTAGCCCAGGCAAGCCAATTCCAAGCATATGTGGGCAATTAAGAATCCACCAGCGCCCTAACAACACACAGTAAACGTAAGCACAATTACCGCCGAACTAAATCCTTTTGCTACAGTACACCCACACTTTTCAGCCCTGACAACTGCCGGGGGGGGGGTTAATCTTCCGAAGAGAAAGGGGGGCTCCCTGCGCAAAATTACGCCTTCTCTTCTCATTTGTTAGCTGATTCCATCAAAAAGTTCGCTATTTATAGGCTACACACATGAACCTGGAGTAATGCAAACCCTCCCGTGTTTGTTCCCTTTTGCAAAGTGACCGGTGCCGCAGCTTTTGATTGCCGTTCGGGCAGCCGGAGCGGCGGAGAGGACGAGCTGCAATCAAAGCAGGCTGGGAGCAGATCTCCAGCTGCAGGGAGTCCGGGCAACGCGCTCGCCGCACAACCTTGTGAGTACCATAGCGCGATCCCCCAACACCCCCCGCCCTCCCAGCACAATTTGTAGATTCGTTTAGGAAAACCCATTGTGAAAGAGAAGGAGGGGAGCCTTTAAAAAAAAAAGACGACGAAAGAGACCGCGAACTCGAGGAAGAAAGACTACGAAGCAGAAGAGGGCTGAGAATGAGCCCCGCCGTTGTCGCGGAGTGTCCCTCGGATCCAATTATCTGAAGAGTGGCGTTTAGCGATTCTCCCTAAAGTCAGGCAGGGTTGGATTGATCCGTCTGGGAATCAAAGCTGAAGGGAAAGGATCTTTGCGATACCCAAACAAAAGTGATTGGTGGACAGCTGCTTCCCAATACAATTGAGAAGCAGATAGAAAAGCACCCAAAAGAAGAGTCTACTTTGTTATTATTTTTTTAAATGTAGACAGAGGGCCCTAGAGAGCCCGTAAAAGATTGAAAATCTTAGATACTGATACCCTCCCCGCCAGCCCCAATGGATTGGCGGTTGTTATAAATTTGTAAGAATTTCTTCTTGGACATTCCTTAAACTGCCTCACCATAAATTAACCAGATTCCCGCTTGAGTCGGACTAAAATACCGGTTTGTGCGTGGGAAAGACCGGAGGGGATGCAAATCTTGCAGGGGCCGGGAAATGCGGCTTTGGTCAACGCGATGGCAACCAAATGCCAGCCAGAGAACTCTGAACTGTGGAAGGAAGGAAGGAAGGAAGGAAGGAAGGAAGGAAGGAAGGAAGGAAGGAAGGGACGGGGATGGCTTTTTGCTAGCGAAGGAGCCGGACTTGCAGCCCACTGAGCTGAGCCTGGCCTAAAATCCACCCACTGCAGCGGCAGGATGTCCTGGATCCCAGCCCTGTCCTTAAGAGCGGCAGGAGCGCTCCGTGTGGTGCTCTGCCTGCCCTTGCGCGGTCTCGGCAGCCAGAGGATGGGGCTTGCTTGGGCTGGAGGTCCGGGCACCAGCTCCCGAGATGGGCATTCCGCGCGGGAGGAGGGTCTCCGTGCCTTAGGCGCATAGCGGAAGGGCCAGCGCAGTCCCAGAAAATAGCAGCAGCAGCAACTTGCTGGGGCTCCGCTCGAACTTTGCTGCCTCCAGTGGAAAAAGTGACTTCGATCCAAGGCCATTTATAGTCGACGGAAAAGTCTCCTTTCCCGTGAGCGGCGGCTGAGCGAGCAGGCAGCCTTTCAGCTTCCCTGCGAACCCTCGCCTGATCTCTCTCGGGTGGGGAGGACGCGAAGCCGAGGCGTTTGCTGACCCGTTAGGTTGGCAAGGCCGGACTTCTGGCAAAACTTTATTTCGCTAATCTTTGGGGTCTCCCTTACTAAGATTATAACGCAAAGAACGCGGTGGATCACGGGGCAGAAATGGGGAGATCTTATATTTTTAAAGGGGGATTATTGACACCACTTTTCCCCATATAATGGAACCGCTAGAAAGATTAACCAATTTTTTCAAAAGTCGTCTAGAAATAGGGCTGTATGGTCCATATTTTGCATTTCCCCCTCACTTTTTCATCAGGAGTTCTAAAGTAAGAAGGTGTAATATTAGCAATTCATTCAGTACTTTAGGGGCAGATGCTCTTTCTTGAAACAAAGAGTCCTTCAACTTCAGTTCCAATCTCTCCACACTGTTTATCTTTTTCTTTTGACACTTTTTCTTCCATCATCGAAATTTGAAGAGTAGTGTAAAAGAGTCATAGTGTCAAAAGAGAAACAGTGTCACAAACCTGGGAGATGGATGGGAGAGTATCCCTTATATAATATTTGAAAAGGGGAGACAACTTTAAATCATTTACATCATTACTATTTAACTGTAGAAAATTAATAGTTTTAATTGTTTGGCCCCAATAAATTTTTTTTTCATTTACAATACAGTTGCAGTAGGGCTCAGACAAATGAAATTATTTATAGTTAGATCTTTGTTCTATGTTCTGCTGTTTAATTTGAAAAGCTACTTTATTGGGCTCAAAGATGATTAAAAAGTAAACTTGGCTTTGAAATTAGCTTGGCATATCTGAAAAGTTTTGCCTTTACTGTAAAGCTGTTTTGGGAAAGTACATGGTTATTTTCTAACTAGCTGAAACATGTAAAGAAAAACACAATGTAGTTTTGTGTTTTTATCCTCTAATTTTGAAAAAAACTTATATATCCAGCCATTTCTATGTGGGAAGAGATTTTACAAAATATGAAACCCTCATTTTCCTAGTTTAATAACATCATAGTTTCCTCCAATGGTAAAGCAATTTACAGCCTATTCACAGCAAAATTTCCAAAGTTGTGAATAGTAGATATATTTTCTATATGTGAGTTAGGAGGATTAAAAAGTTTTTTTTTTAAAAAAAAGTCATTCCTTAGCATAGATTGAATGTTTGAAA